GCCCATGGGCGTCGTAAGAGGCGACTATAGAAATGCCAGAAAATTATAGCTCCGTAAAATACTCAGATTTAGTAATTTCTCTGCGTGATAGACTCAGAAATGAGGATATCCGCAGTAAAACCAGAGTGACCGACATAGCCCAACGGATTAGTAAGCTGAAGTGGCAAGTGAAAAGGTTCTCGAGTGGCAGCCTCGTACCGGTAGGCGTAGTGTAGGGCGACCCCCCACTAGATGGAGTGACGACCTGGTAAGACATGCAAGAAGTCGATGTATGCAGGTAGCTCAGGACCGTGCTTTGTGGCATTACTTGGGGGAGGCCTATGTTCAGCAGTGGACTTGTGAAGGGGCTGTAATGATGATGATGATGATGATGATATTGAAAATACGCAGACCGCCGACGGACTACAGCGTCAAAGGTGCGAGACGTCTGACGATTAAGGTAAATGCTCGTCGTACAAAATATTATTTCAGTTTTATAACTGAAATAATATTTTGTACGTGATAGATAGTTTTGTTATTGAAACGGCGGACTCGGGTTGATTTACAACGACTCTTTTACACTCTTTTTTTATTCTAATAATCGGATTAATGTATCTGATAAGCAGGCAACCCTAACATTGTACACAAACAATAGAATAGTAGAGAGCATCGTCGCACCGCGATCGCTGTCAGCGCCTGATATGCACGAACGTACAAATGCACTCCTACAACTCTGACTCAATGCAGCACTAAGAGCTTAGTAGACTACTCTATGTTTAACCCTTACAAGTTCAAGACCGTAAATCATAAACCAAAAAGAAGAGACAAAATTTAATAAATAATAAAAAGAAAAGAAACTTAAAATATATATATATATATATATATATATATATATATATATATATATATATATATATGAAATCCAAGAATGAGTTGCTAAAACATTATTTTTGCAAAACTCAGCGAACGCACAATATTATTTAAGGTACAAGATTTTATACTAAATTTAATGGAGTTTAATTCTAAAAAAACAGCAAACAAAGTACACTTGCCAGAATATTTTTCTGAATTCCCGAATAAGAATGAAAAGTTTGTAATAATCTGAAATATTAAACCTCAGAGGTTATTTGAAGATGATGTAGTATACGTATTATTAAAAAATATTAAAAACAGATGATTTCTTAACAGTTATAATGTATCCCTGTAAATAAAGTACCGGTTATAGGTATATAATACGTTTATAATAAAATTAATTAATATGAATTAAAATTCATTACTCACGGTCCTACAACTTAAAACACAAAGGTTACCATATAAAATATACGAAACATTATATTGACTTTCGGAAATACTGGCAACTTTTATGAAAGTTCAATAACGCATAATTGGCAGAGTAGAAAATGTAAACTTGAAAACGACTGGTATAGAAACTCGATTCAACAGCAAGGATACGATAGCAAGAACTTAATTTAATTTAGATTATCCAAATTATATATTTATATTTATAAGATTGACTCTTGTTGTGTTCTGTTCGTAAATCAGCCGTTTCTTAAGTTATAATCAAAGATGAATTATGAGTTATGACAGTATCACAATTTTCCAAGGATATTTTATGAAAACTATTCGTTATTTTGTTGTTGTATTAATATGGATTTTTTTAAATTTATGATGGGTATTTTCTTAAGTTTATGATATTGGTAAATACTTCGTTTTGCTTTTTGGCCTATTATTACTTTTTTTTTAATAGTTTGTGCTGCATGCTTAAACTGGATTAAACTAATTTCTTTCTTTCTATCTGTTTATGCATAATATAATAAATCAATTTTGTAAGATTTTATATTTCATTTGTATTATTTAAAATATCGCAATGTGGTGGCTTGCGGTCCCACCATCAAATAGCTTAAGAAACCACCTCCTAATACCTTTCTGAAGGTGTTGTAAATTCAACATGAAAAATGGTTGAAAAATATAGTGTCTTCTGATAAATAGCGATACAACAACTATTACATGCCAAATATTATACAGACCACAATAGACAGCGTTAGAAATGTGAGACATTTAGTACTATGATCGAGTATGTAGTTACCAAGTTTGCCAATTACGGCAAATCAGGAAGGACGAGAAGAGGATATGATGGTGAAGATGGTAGTATAGTTTAACACATACTCTTGGTTTTGTTCCATGACGTGAGATTCCGACAAATAAAATTACAGAATTGTTTGTCATAACATCGTGAATGAATTACTAAATTAATATTAGGAATGAAATCTAAACAATTTGCAACAAGTACAATATGGAGAGCAACACTAACTGCGCGGAATGCATTGTTTTATAAACAATTAACCGATTATAAATATGGCTGAAATCTCGAATGTGTTATCTGTCGACATTAATGATCATTGTATGTTCATTGCAAGTATGGAGTGAAATAAAGCGCATGGTATAAAATTTTGCGGTTAGAAATTCCCTCCAAAGTAGAAATAGATTACCCACGCTACGGTCTGATATTTGATAATACGTGGAGACATTTTAATTTGTGTAATTTCAGGATTATGAAAGGAAATTTTTATAATAAATTTTGTTTATTGTGTCAATGTAGCTCTTAGTCTATCCCTGGGCGAATAAATAAAAAAAAAGAACTTGACATTTATTATATGTAAAAAGAAAATATTTTATCAATTAATTTTGCCTTGATACATGGTGCAAATCTAGTCTAAATTTAACAAGCTACTAGTATATAGAAAAATACAGCTATTGGTGCTGTTATAATTTGCGTAATGTACAGTTGCGCACAAATTTCTATAGTGGCATAATGCATATTAATGGGGAAAATGTAGGCAAATTATGTTGCAGGCTAATTGGAGCGTTGCATTGTCTTTCGCATCATTAAAGACGGGGAAAAATGGAGGCCTCATAACGAAAACGTTTTCGAGACTTTAAATTATTTTAAACTTTACGTAAAAGTAGCCAAAGTTTTTAAAAAAACATAATTTTTATTTTTACTGGATTAGGTAATAACGTGAAAGTGCCCAATCAGTTGACACGGACAACCTTACAAATCCAGTTGAAGGGATACAAAAAATAGATAGAGAGATGCGCAGTACATATCGTCCTCAGTTGGACATCTCTTCCCTTTTAGTGAGAATTTATTTATTTTTTATTTAATATAATATGGTTGACAAACAAGCACATAGTTCATCTAACGGTAAGTGGATGCTGTGGCCCACTGACACCTCCATCTATCGCCGACTAAACATCAAAATGTAGATACGTTGTAATATCTGCAGGCTAAGGTAAAATGCCTCGACACCACTTAACAGGACCTCTGGTTCTCTACACTCAGTTTCATACTAAACATAGCAGCAATAACCGTCTATTTGACACTGGTATTTCATGAGAATGTGGTCCTTCCTAATTGAGTCGGCCCATTGGAACTGCAACCATAATGTAGTAATTAGTATAGTAAAACCATAGTAGCAAAGTGGCTATACCACGTTAAGGTTTTGGTTGTCATGCTTGGTTGGCGGACGCAGTACCAGACTTCTCATACCTTTCACGTCACTGGCCGTCGCCGGTATGGGAAAATTACGCCTGGCGTATACCGCCATCTATCGGAAGGTATATCATTTTCCTGGCATTTTCCATCGTCGCCTTTTATTCTTACGACAGATACACTGGTGGAAATAGTGTGCATTACAGAAAACCGTTTACATACTTTTTTAAACGTCGACGCGTGCAAAATAATGTTACAGTGTTGCCGGTATTAATAAATCGATTACACATACATATTATTATAATCGCAATTATTTCTTTATGAAAAGTTAGCGGATTTGCACTGGTGATTTCTGAATCTAGACAACATCGCTACGTACCGGGTCTAATTGTGGGTCTATACTCTATACTATCCCAAATCATTTCAGCCGGACTAACTAACGACGGAATAACGGGCAGTAATTGATTTTAATATATAGAGATAGCATAATATGTTTGATAGGCTACGTACTAAAATTAATTGAGAACGAAGTGTCGCCGGGCATTTTTTCTGCGAACATATATTCATGTGTCGATGCTTGTTAAATTAATATTCAGGACAAGCACAAGCTAACCTAACAGGGACAGTGGCGGTAAGTCAAGCCACATCTTACTTCCCTATTAGTCCCCAGCCGTGAGTCAGGCTTCGTGTTAAATGACAAATCAAAGGCATCGGCCTCATATAGAAATCAACTTTGAATTGGAATATAATATAAGTAGATGTGTTTTAAAAAAATCCAACACTTTCTTGTAGGTACTTAGTATTTTATACAATTTTCACGTTAACCAGAATAATGTTAAATGTTTCTGTTGAAACGGCAGTAAAGTTAGTTGTAAGTATCCAGAGGTATGTAATTCGTTTTGTTAAATGATAAGTATAAAATATTTTGTGTTGTACATAGTAGAAGTACTTGAATTTACCATACTTTAATTAGTAATAACAATAATTATTTATTTATTTTTCACCACAAACGACATGGAAGATACATTAGTGTTATACATTTCTATTTGAACAATATATAAATGGTTTTTTTGTAAATATACATATTGGAATATATATATGCTATTGAAATGCATTTCTTGCCATGTGTAAATGATCAACTAAATTTGTAAATTAACTTCAATATTTAAATAAAACTTGCTGATGGGATGTTGACGAAAAAAGTTTGTTCTAAATTTGAAATACCTTTTTGATTCCTTTCCGTTAGTACGACATCGCGTCTATTTTGGAGGTGTCAATCGACTCCCTGTTTTCTTTACGGCTACGCAACACCCTAATGGGAGGTGGATTATTTTACAAAAAATAATTTATTTCAAATAGTTAGTTCTTCTTTAATCCAAGTCATATTAAAATCTAGTAAGAAAATAAAAATTACATTTTTTAACTTTACACTTAAAAGAATCATTAAAAATTACAAAGGGAAAAAATATCTATCCGAATGTATCATTAGATATGGAAAAAAATTGTTTAAGTTCTATTCACTTTGATTTTAAGTTCCTGTATATTGATTTTCTGGGTACATTTCAAAAATATCTTCGCGTTTAGCAACTGCTTCCTGCACAACAGAAACGTTTTCTGTGATTGACATAATTAAAAGAGTAATCAATCTTTAAACTTAATTATACCTTCTGTTAAAAAGAATTATAAACTAAAAATTAAAAAAAAAAACATACTTTCCACAGCTAGGCACAGGCGTCCTCTCAATTCTGGGAGGGTTTTAAGTGAGGGAGAGCCTGTAATACAATGCGCGCTCACGTCCTAATGAGTGTTGTGTTGGTCTTAGAATATACATAAGCTGTACGAGCTTACATATAGTAGTATATACTCTAAGGTCTTGGATTATTAGGGTAAATTTCTAAGACTTGCAGGTCCTTTAATTCAGCATTTGAATTGCGGAGAGATGTTGCATCTCTTTGCGATTTCCACCGTATTTACCACGGGGAGTGCTCAGAGGAATTGTTCGGACAAATTCCAGCCGCTCAGTCATTACGACAGAACTCGAGATACCATCCTTACTACCTGGATGATTGGCGGTGCAGTACTGTGCGATTTACAAGAAGTTTTCTTCCTCACACAATGTCATTTTAGAATCGCCTACCGCCAACGATTTTTCCGGACCGATACTACTTAGGGACCTTCAAGAATAGAAACTACTCTTTTTTAAAAGGCCGGCAACGTATCTGCAATAACCCTGGTGTTGCAGTTGTTCATGGGAGGCGGTAGTCACTTACCATCGGGTGAGCCGCATGCTCATTTGACCCTCTCATATATCGTCACTGTTTTGTAGAAAGGGCGAATATACGTTATTCGCCGTCTTGCATAACCAAACAGTGTGATGATTAAAATAGCATGTAATACGAAATATAAATGCGAATATGAAATATAGGGCTTTTCTTCATAACAAATAGGTGATTTTACAGTTAGTTTAGTTACTACAAATCGATTCAAAATGCCTCAGGGAAATGTTCTGTTACGAAAAAGAAAATCATAGAAAAATGGCTTATTCACCCGTTCTAAAAACCAGTAACGATATATCAAAGTAACATCCTATATTCGTCTCACTGCTGCCAAGACTTCTCTCATTTTTGATTGTGTTTTAGGGTAAGGAAGAGATCCCCGCGCGGTCCCACTGGAAATAGTCTTTTAAGGAAAGTGCTTAATCCCCTGAACTACCACCGATGCTAATTTATGATTTGTACTGTAAATTATAATATGATATTAACTCGAGTAGGCAGCTCAAGTGTAAATAATTGATCTTATTTTCAGTTTATGAAACTAAGATCAATTATTTACATTTTATATTTATTTACGTAAACTCACGAATTTCCGGATCAGTTCGACCAGGGGAGGTCCAAACTCTCACAGTATATCAGCATCAAACAGAAGCTCAATGCTGTTGTGATTCGTATTGTGAGTGTAGAGAACCGGAGACCCTTTTTATTGGATACGAGGCAGTCCATCTGAGTCCTCAGAGGTGGCAACGTATTTACATTTTGATTCTTAACCGAGGATAGATGTAGATTTCTATGGGCCACAGGATCCACTTTCCATAAGGTGGACTGTGTGCTCGCTTGTCAACCTTATTCTATAAAAAATAGTACTTCATGGCATAGCATAGCTATTAGGTGTAAAATTCCTATTAGGAGAGGCATATGCTTAGCAGGCGACCGTTTCCCCGGCTAAAGTTGCATGCAATTCCAGGCTTCAAAAATCTTTTACTGACATTTAAATTTGACTTTTATTATTTTATTTTTATTATTTGTATATGTATTATCAATAATATTACGAAAATACTTGTGGGGACTGGTCTGCTCGGCTTTTGCGATACACTTACGATTTTGAGTAAACGTTTTTAAATATCATACTTTTAATTGCCTATGGGCTATGGGTGTGTTCCTTTAAAAATGGCAAAAAGAAGAACTGCTGCAGTTTCTTTCGCCGCTCCTTCTCCGATCTTCGAACCTAATTTTGAAACGAAAGTGAATTTAAAATTGTAACTCTTTGCAATTATAAAGTTTTTTAGATCGAAAAATAAAAAGATTTTATTTCATTTCATTTGTAAAACATTTGCAAAGGAAGTACTATTTCCATTCAAGAAAACTTCACCGATATTAGTGAGACCAATAATTCAACGCTTTACGCTCACTGGATATAGTGATTGCTGGTGTCCCTCTTGCCGCCAGTCGAGGGAGTCATATCAATTAAAAACGGCAGGGACGTAATTGTGCTCGTTTTAGCTCGATTGCGCCAGACGAAGGGACAGCGGTCATTGTGCCAACTACAATACTTTAACCTGCATTCACACTACATATAATGTTATAATATATATTAGCTCGTTATGCGCATAACTGTATAAATTAAAAAAAACTAAAAGCCATCTTCGTAGAAGTAAAAATGATAAATTTCGACTAAATAGTTATATCAAAAACTTCGTTTCCTTTTTTTTTTATTCATATAAACCTTTTTCCCTAGGTCCTCACAACACAGGCAAGCTTAGTGTGAGGACCACAGAACTATACACCATTGTTTATACACTCCAGCTTAGTCGGTGTGATAAGATCATAGTTTATAATTATATACAAAAGAATTAAGGCTACTGTACTTCCGTTTCATTATCTTCTATTGTATATTACAATCTGTATATCTTTTATTGTATCTTGTAACTTTAGCAGTAAATAAACATTTTTTTAATTTTTTTTTAATTTTTAACTCTCGTTCTTTACCTGTTACGGACACACGGATACTAGAGACCTCTCTACTGATAAAAAGAATTTACTGTAATTCCCTGAATAGGCAGACGAAACGAAGGTTACCGCATCGAATTGTGAAATGTTGTCGAGTTAGATATTTACGTATTTTTGAGACGATTACTAACACAAACTAACCGGTGCCACGATTTTGTTTTCTCTTTTTAAATGTTTTTTTACGTTGCTCCACCTTAAGTTTAAAAGATATTTGAAATCAACTCTAGCCCGTAACTGCCTAAAGCAAATATCGCAATTACCCATGCGTTTAAAAACTCGTCTGGATTATTAATGCGGCGCAAAGGACTAGGTATAATATAAGCTGCTGTTTCGTAGAGAGATCACAACAGTTCGATCAAATGCATTCCTGTCGAAACTGTTGCCGGTTACATTGTAAAAAGTTCAAAGTATGCGGCCGGGAGTGGAGTAAAAAGCGGGTTGTAATCGATTGGTGTCGGATGGGTGCGCGGGCGACGCCTCGTTACGGTGCGCGGCCTGTCTTCCTTGCTACCATACTGTCGTCCGTTCTCCTTTCCCCGGAGAGTATGCTCGTAAGGGCATCCATATACAATACATTTAAATTCCTAAAGAAATTCACACAAAATCGCGAAACAAGTAAAGACAAATCATTAAAATGCATTTACAGATACGCTTTATATTTATATTAGATAGTATTCCAAAAAAATACAGTAGGTACCTATATAGTACTTGTCACACGTACTTATTTGACATTTTTTATGTGGGACCTCCTTCAACAAGTAAAAACGTGAACTATTTTTATTAACAGAGCCAGCAGCAAAGTCAAGCAATATTTTAAGCTGTGCATTCTCCAACTTAAACAAATTATCCTGTTATACAGTATTAAAAAATAATGAATATTTAATTATTTATATAAATACACGATTGATTAAATAAATACACGATGAACTATTCAGGTGCATAAAAACCCCAACAAAATTAACAGATATCGCGTTATTAATATACACCGGTGTTCCTAACAGTGGGCAGTAGATGGTGCGAGATTATTTTCTAAATATATCATGGTTACCCTATTTCCAGCTAATGACACTCAACAAGCATTTTAAAAACACGTCAGTGTTTTAGCTAGGAACACCATTCAGTCATTAACGTTTAAACACGTTATAATGTTATGTGTTAGACAAATATGTGGTAAGTTCCCCTTCAATTAAAAAAAAACTAACTGCTACATATCTTTATATATCTGTATGAAGAATGTAAAACTTGTGCTTAGGTATTTACCACGAATTCGGCGGTGAAGAAAAACTGCATGTCTAAATTAAAAGTAAAAAAAAACATCGAGGACATGAGAAGCCTGCCTACTCCCACTGGATCATATCGACTGAGACTTAATCCCTTTCAGGAATTAGAGGAGGCCTATGCCCAACTATGACAGACATCATAAAGGCTGATAATTTACTTCTAAATATAACCACAGAAAAATCTTATGTTATTGCTCGGTTTCCTAAATTTCATATATGAATGATTCGTTCAGTATGCAGTCAACGTGTCTTTTATGGTCGCCACACACGGTCAGTTTAACTGATCATTCCGACTGATCAGTTCAAACTAAAACTGTTGATATTTTTTAAAATATCGAATTTTCGATATATCGATAAATAAACTATGTAAGATAAGTAAATTTAAAACTCCGATATTAATATATTAATAATGATTGATATATCGAAAATCCACTATTTTAAAAAATATCAACAGTTTTAGTTTAAACTGATCAGTTGGAATGATCAGTTTAACTGACCGTGTGTGTGGCGACCATTACGTTCTTTTACTACCACTACTAACACAAAGAAACATATTATTTATAGATGAAGACAATAAACAAAATAAGTTGTGCCATAATATTCCTTTTAAATATAAAAGCATAAGGGATTAAAAAATAAAGATCCACAATATTAAAACACTTTTAAACTAAAATGCGAGTAAGTAAGGCTTCTAGTTTAATTTTTTTGATTTATTTATAGGATAAGGGTGACAAACGTGCACATAGTTCACCTGATGGTATGTAGTTGCTGTGACGCATAGACATCTATACATATATGCTCGGTTACGAATCAAAATGCAGATGCGTTGTCACCCGTGAGGACTAAGATGGAATGCCTTGTTTCCAGTGAAAAGGGTCGCCGGTACTCTACACTCACCATACGAAACACAGCAGCGTAAAGCTGTTATTTCACGCTCGTATTCTGGGAGGGCGTGGTCCTTCCTCTGTCCAGTCGATCCATTCGTGCTGCAACTATACCAGTACCATAGCCGCAGCATAGCTCTACCACATATTTTATTTGAAATTATCCCAAATTGAGTGTGATTTATGGGCAGTAACGTTTTTACGTACCGATCGAAGATTACGAATGTGTGCGTGCGCAGTAAAATCAGTTAAATAACATCACCACGCATTTTGAATTTAAAAAATAAAAGGGACAGAATGTTTGAGATTATTTTAAATTAACTTTCTTCATCATTTGTCTATATTACATATTCTGACAATGAAAACAAATCTCTGCAAATTTGTTCGGATATTGCAAAATATATAATTTTTCGGTAGGCATATAATTGTGAATGTGTCTTATGTTCCTACAAGTATTTTACCTCAGACCAACGTATTTTACGTCAAGCATCATTCACTCGTCTCAAGGATTTAAAACTCTAAGTAGGTCTACTCTACGGTGAACCGTAGGAGCACTTTGGTGAATCGCACAAAAGGCGCAACTATTAGTGCTTCGGAATATACTGCATGCGTATTCAATATACATGTATACTTATATACCAGTTATGCAAACTACCCTGTCGATATTATCTTGAAAAGTTTTCTTACTTCCCTCGCTCTACAACTAAATATGACATTGCTAAAAATTGAAGAATGACCGGTATCATAGATGATACTAATACTTACTATTTAATTAACATATTGAATTCATGAATATTCACCTACTAGATGTCTCTAGAGACTATCAAATTGTATTTTCTTACAATTATTTATTATGGATAGTAATTGCAACAATCGCTGTAACTAGGATGTAGAATTGCCCACAAAATATAGTATCCCACTTTATAAGGGATCCCAATACTATGGTTCTAAAAAAATATTTGTTAGCAATAATATTTTTATATGAAGTGAGTCTGTACATTAATGTTTATATAAAAGCTCAAAGCAGCAAAACATATTCCTTTAAAATATAAAATATCATTTAACATCATCATTATTACAGGTTTATAATAAATATCAAATTAATTTTCAACCAAGTATGCATATATACATAATAAATGCAATTGAAGTGCCAGTCTATAACATCGAAGTAACTGCCTTTTTTCGCGATTATTTGCATGCCACTAAGACATGAATAACCATAATATGTAAAACTTTTGTCTTGCTGTCGGTCCGGACTAAATTTAAGGTGAGTCTACGCTAGACGAGCCGAGCACGGGCGGAGCATGAGCCGAGCACAAATTCGTGCAATGTGGACCGACTTGCAAGCCTCGAACGAGCGCGCTTCGAGCGTTTGGTTCGTGTTAGACTGTGCTCCTCCTATTGTCGGTTTTTTGACGAACGCAAAGGTATTTGCATCGTATTTAACGATTTGCATGTTGAAGGCTCGTTGTACGTTCACACTTGACACCGCAAGTACAGCGCCTTAGCTTGTGCTTAGCTCGTGCTCGGCTCCTCTAGCGTAGACCCATCTTTAGAAATTTCTGAAACGATGTTAGCGAACGTGGCTCTGCTGACGATTTATGGCAGAAAATTACACTTTAGCATGAATTAAAATATTTAATAATTTTTTCTGAAATATAAAGTATATTTTATATAAATTTGATTAAAAATGGATAAAAAACCTACACATATTCCTAAAAGTAAAGGAATAAAAAAGGAGTTACAATGTGCAAAAATTTAAAGAGCAATCACCGGCGCGTTATTTTGTGTAATTTTTACATACAACTAGAAAATAGAAAAACTTATTTGAATCGCAACATTTCCCTTATCTTAACATTGTAGTAACGAATAACTTCTTAGTTCTAGCTAGCGACATCTGGTGAGCATAAAATTATAAACCTACATTGGGTGCGTTTGGCAGAAAAAAGCACTAGCAAGCGCTTACAAGCGCTGAAATAGTTTTCGGCCAGGACAGGATTGCTACTTCAGTAGAGCTGACACAATCCGCCATTTGCTTATTTAATTTGTTTGTTTTGAAGTAGAGTTTATTAAGTTATTTTGTGCAATATTAGTTTTAAGTAATATATTGACATGAATAAACATATACATGTTATTAAAAATTCATGATCGGTAAGTTTTTAATATGAATACTTTACAAATATATATTTAAATTAGGTTAGGTTCCGCGGTTAAAACTAACATCGTGTCCTGGAGGAAAATAGCTACTTACGATTTGACAGCGCTTACCGCTTACGATCGCCATTTTGCTTACAAGCGCTTGCTAGCGCTTTTTTCTGCCAAACGCAGCCATTGACATATGGTTTTTAATTGTGTAACCGATTACAGTTATGTTCGAAATAACATTAAAGTTTTTACAAAAATCTATAATTATTAGTGTATTTTGCATTAAACATAAATAAATATTTCAATATTCACGTTTAGTAAAGAAATATTTTTATTTCTAATGTATTATTTAATAAATTCATCGACATCTAGCGTCAGCTAGCAAAAACACCGACTAGTAAAGTCAACGATACCTACTGCCATCTATACAACCTTATAGTTACAACTATTTGACGCTAGGTGGCACTATAAAATAAAGGTTTAACGTGAAATTTCCAACGGTTCAATAACCTAACCCACGTACAACGAAGTGGCAAAATCACAAATATCTGTATGCATCATCCAGAAATATATATTTTAGAAATGATCTACATGGTACTACGTGGTAGAGCCATGCTGCAGTTATATTAGTAGTATAGTTGTAGCACGAATGGGTCGGCTCGACCGGGGAAGGACCACGCTCTCACAGAATACCAGCGTGAAATAGTAGCTTAATGCTGCTGTATTTCGTATGGTGAGTGTAGAGAACCGGAGACCCTTTTTACTGAAAATGAGGCATTCCATCTCAGTCCTCACAGGGTGACAACGCATCTGCATTTTGATTTGTAATGGAAGATAGATGTAGATGTCTATGGGCCGCAGCAACCACTTACCATCAGGTGGACTGTGTGCTTGTTTGTCAGCCTAGTCTATAAAAAAAAAAAAAAAACATAACAAAAAAATATTTTTTTATTGATTTCTGTCTAGATTTATGGGCAAGTTGTTGACTGACTTACCTTGATCTGGCACTGCTCGTAACGATACTGCGTCCTCTTCTATGTCGTCTTCAGCTTCTTCCTCGGTAATGGAAGGCGGTGCCGCCCAGCAACGTAATCTTACTCCCGCATTAGCTGCGTTTGATCCAGCGTCTATTCTGACTCGAGGCAAACTTCGTGTTGAGTATTCTCCATTGTTGGTCGAGGTCTGGTGACAATACATAACTTAATTTAATATACTGTAAAATATTTCACGGTTAGTGGTGGTGTAAGTAATATCTACCCTATATAGTCCCGTGGGTGTCGTAAGAGTCGACAAAGGGAAAAACACCAGAAGATGAGCAGCAGCGTCTTCCTAATATATGGTAAAGCCATGCTATTGCTATATTAGTAGTAGGTTGTAGCACCAATGGGTTGGTTCGACCGGAGAAGGGCCACGCTCTCACAGAATAACAGCGTAAAATACTACTGCTAACGCTGCTGTGTAGAGAACAAGGCGAAAAAGGCACTCCATCTTAATCATCACGGGTGATAACGTATCTGCATTTTGATTCGAGTTGTCGCATCAGTGTAGTGTTGGCTCGTTTATAACTCTTATACTATTAAAAAAAACTAGGTTATTTTAAATACTTTAAGATTTTTTTTGGATGCCTTTGTTCGGCAGTGGATCTTGATAGGCTGGACTTTTGATAGGCTGTAAAGGTATGACAGTCCATAAAAATTTTGAAATTTGTTGCAGCAAAAGTTTATTCATTAACCGATCTTGTCCCGTGAGTGTTGTAAAGTTATGAGCCCCCCAACAAAGACTGTTACAATGATTTCCTATATTTACGCAAACACTATGCATTGATTAAAACTACTTTTACGGATTTTATCGTGTTTAAACTGCGTAAAGACTTGTCAAAATAGTAAATGGGCCCGTAACGAACATTTAATACTTTCGGATTGTCGGAACTCGGTGTTCCCGTATACTATGAAATTCAAAGAGAGCGCTTGTTCCCAAACTACCACGGCTGAGCGAAATAAGTTACCATAAATATTGTTAATTTTTACACTATGTTCTACTCGCATATATTACAGGTTGAAATATAACTCCTTAATTTTAAGACAGATTTAATTGCGTTCGTCGCGAAGTAAGGAATCACTTTCGACTTGTTGTAAAAAAAAAAAGTTTCAATACACGGAATTTCGTTCGATTCATTTATACGTAATAAATAGCTGATCATTGACCAGCAATCTTAAAAGAATATACAGTTCACTGCTCGGCATAGCTGCTGCTATTCGCTCTAGTATAAGCTTGTACTTGTTTTAGCTAAAATGGCCTATTTGAGTAACAAAAGATGACGTTGGAAAAATATAAAAACCGAAGTAATTGTAAATATTGATCAGCAAATCGAGTTGTAAAAGCCAAAACGTTAACAGCAAAAGCATCGTTAACATAATATACCGCGTAGAATAACATATACTAGGATGTGTCCTGTATCGTGGACGTACTCTTACTTACTTACTTATCTTCACGCACAATCCCTAACGGGGTAGCCAGAGAGAACAGATCGCCAAGTGTCACGATCCTTACATACCTCTTTCGCTTCTTTCAGGTTCATTAACTTCTTCATACATGCACGTCTAGGTATCCGAGTACTCTTGACCCTCCCCTCCTCGAGCGATTTGCTCACATGGTCTTCGAAAGTTAGTCTCGGTCTACCTCGACACCTTTTAATATTTACTTTCGCTCTATATATTTTCTTCACCATTCGGTCTTCACTCATTCGTTCAACGTGCCCAAACCATTGGAGTACGCCCCTATAAATTTTTGTGATAAGGTCATCTTTCAATCCTGCCATATTGCGAATCTCTTCGTTTCGCTTTCGGTCGGCTAAGGTAACGCCACACATTTTACGAAGAGATCGCATCTCCACTGCATTCAACTGCTTTTATGCTTCTTCTGGCATACCCAGGTTTCGCTGCCATATAACAAAGTCGGTACCAACACTGCATTATGTATTGCAAGGCGTGCACTCTTCACCACGCCTTGCCTTTTTACTAATGCATTCAGGGCACCATTGACTTTGTTTCACAGGACACACTTCCACATCTAAATCACATCTTCCATCCCGGCTGAAAGCACTCCCCAAGTATACAATTTCATTTACCTGTTCTAGACATTCCTGATTTACCCATATTTCACATTTCGTTCTCTCTTCGTCCTTTTCAAATACCAGAACCTTAGTTTTATTAGCATTCAAACGGAGACCTTTAATTTCACATTCCTCTTTCATACACGTGACTAACGCCTGCAGTTCTGCTTCTGATGGTGCAATAAGCACTGCATCATCAGCATACAGCAGACAATTAACTTTTATGTCACCCAATTTCACACCCAAACGACTATTTTTCAGCTTCTGTAAACAGCTGTCGAGATACAGTATGAACAGCCAGGAAGACATGACACAACCCTGTTTTACGCCCGCTTGGACGCTAAACATGGGTGACAGGTCATGCCCTACCCGCACACAGGCTTTACAGTCATAGTAAAGTGACTGCACAGCCCTTAACAATCGACCATCCACACCATATCCCGGCAACAGTTCCCACATTTTCTTCCTTATAACCTTATCAAATGCTTTCTCCAGATCCACAAAAGCACAGAAAATCTTCTGGTTAACACTCAGAAGCTTCTCCGTGATCATGCGGAGAGAAAACATTTGATCCGTGCATCCTCTTCCAGGTTTAAATCCGCATTGTGCCTCCCATAAGAATCTTTCCGATTTCTCTTGCATCCTACGTGTCAAAACCTTCGAGTAAACTTTACTTGCTAAACTGGTCAAGCTGATCGCCCGATAGCACCCGCAGTCAAAATGTGAACCTTTACCTTTATATAAAGGCACAATGACCGCGGATCGCCAATCATCCGGGACATCTCCCGTCCGCCAGCACAAATTGCACAGCAGATGGAAGCTGTCCCAGACGCGAGGCCCACCGTACTTGACCATTTCAGCAGTAACTCTGTCTAGTCCCGCAGCCTTACCACATTTCAAACTTCGAATCGCACGTTCAATCTCTTTCATGCTGATGACCTCAGTGTCATCGAGGTCCGTGTCTGGCGTGCCAGTCACGGCGTCACCCCCGGATCCTTCACTAAGATCATGACACGCATACATTTCTCTATAAAATTCACTCCATCGCTGCATGACGTCCGATTTTTCTGAGAGGACGTCATTGGTTCTCGAAAGCACTTTGTTCATTCTTAAGGCTGTCGCACCACTCCGGGACCTTCCAACATCTTTCCAGAAGAGTTTGGAGTTTTCCCTAAAGACAATTGTGTGCACAAGCGACAACCTCTCGTCCGCTTCTATTCTACACCTTTCACGTACTTCCTCAATCAATGTTTTCGCATGAACTTTCTGCAGCTTATATCTTTCTTTCATCTTCTCTCTCATATGCTCATCGTTACTAGAGGCCAAGTAGTCTAACCATGCTTTTTTCTTCTTTTTTACAGCTTCTCTCACTTCATCATTCCACCATGCATCTCTTCTTTTTCTACTACCTCTTTTTGTCGTACCACATACTTCTTCCGCTGCACTTACCATTCCATCCCTAAGGTTCTGCCATGTTCTCTCCACACATTCTTTCCTGCCATCGATGGTGTCAAGCTTTTCGGCTACCCTCGTGTGATATTTGTCCCTAGTATCCGCTTCCTGAAGCTTCCAGCTTCGGATGCGACAGACCGACTGTGGTTCTGTTACTGCCGTCCGGTAGCGCCAACCCGCGAACAAACCCCTAAATCTAGTAATTACTAGATAATGATCCGTTCCCAGGTCAGCACCCCTGAACACTCGTGTATCCATCACCTGTTTTCGCAGTCGGTCATCCACCAGGAACAAATCAATCATACTTCTCTCATTCTTTCTTTCTCTAGTGTACATATGGATTTTCCTGTGATTAAACATAGTGTTTGTCACAAGAAGACCCTTTTCCTTGCATACAGCCAGTGTAAGCTTGCCAGCATCATTAACCCTTTTATCGCCAAACTTTCCAAGCACCGACTCGTATCCTGGTCGAGCGATACCTACCCATCCATTCAAATCACCACATACAACAGTTCTTTCGTTTCCCTTAACCAAATCTAGAACTTCTCTTACATTCTCCCAAAACTCCTCCAGCTCAGCCCTGGACGACGAAGCTACCGGCGCATAAACAGCCAAAAGGAATAACTTCGTCAGTCCCATTTTGAAGCGAACCCACACTTTGATTACATGATTACATGATTGCATGACGTACTTTACATTTAGTATTTAGTGGTTGAGATGATGATTTAGTGGTTGACCCAAGATGATGCGGTGACCAGGATTAAGAAGGGAATGCTTCGGTGGTTTGGTCATGTAGAATGAATGAATGAGGAAAGACTGACAAAAATATATGTTGCAGAAGTGAATGGAAGAGTCGGAATGGGACGTCGTAGGCGGAAGTTTGTCCACCAAATTGGCAATATACTAAAATGGGCCAAATTAAGAGTACCTTTAACCGACGAGCATGTATGCGTAGGTATATGGATGTGGAAGAGGTGAGAGAGGTATGTCAGGATCGTGCTAAATGGAAGTCTGTAGTCTCTGCCTACCCCTCTGGGTGACAGGCGTGAGTGTTTATGTTTATTTAATGGTATAATCCTTAATGTAAAAAAAGCACTTCTTTAAGTTGTATGGTAAAGATTTATCTTCTAACTCCATATTTCAACCTTACCAGCTTGGCTTATACCTAATGCTGATTGACTTACGAAGTTTTGGCAGCCGATTTTAACACAAAATTCCACAGGTAAAAATAAAATTGTCAAACCCAATTTTTCAAATATTGCTAATGTAAACAGCTGACATCTTTTTACGACTTTAAATGGCTACCAATTGTTGTTGATAATATTGCCGCCATTGTTCTCTATCATATATATATATATATATATATATATATATATATATATATATATATATATATATATATATATATATATATATATATATATAGGTATATAACGATAATATATTCCATTACTCAAATTCTGTTCCTAGTGTTGTCATCGATTTCACAGCGATTGTCGCTACTCATTAGAAGTTCAAGCTAAAAGCTCAGTTGTTACATGAAATATCACCAATTCCAAAAAGTGAAAAATAAAACCGCTACTCCACCTACGATGGTAAGTGGTGATGTAGCTACAGA